TATGACTTTTATTACGGTGGGATCTCAGAGAATTCTTTCATTACATATGAAAGAATAATTCTGTGGTGGTGATGATGATGATGATGATGATGATGATGATGGCATTAAAAGCAGCATCCCTCACACGCAGCTCTTTGATCTCCATTCCAGGAAGATGCTGAGCAGTTATACAAGCAGTGTAAACGGTACGACCTTTTGAACAAGTTCTACCAGGCCTCAGACCAGTGGCAAAAAGCCATTGAGATAGCCGAAAGCCAGGACCGAGTCCACCTGCGCACAACGTACTACAACTATGCCAAGCACTTGGAAGCCATAGCTGAGCGCAACCTTGCCATCACCTAGTAAGTGTTTGCTGGAGTCTGAGGGCAGGCAGTCACAGGATGCCAAAGTTAGTCCACATCTGACTCAGAGCCTGCATTCTATAGTTTTCAGAGTCTAGTCACAGCTAACTTTTCCAGTTAATTTATTGTTTGTGGTCCTCTGTTGACCCAGTGGGAAATGTGTCTATTCAAGGGTTTATATGCTGCCTTACCTCTAAGGCAGTGTTTCTCAACCCTGGCAGATGAAGTCCACACATCTTCAAGTTGCCAAGGTTGAGAAACGCTGCTCTAAGGACTCAGGACTCATGTTACTATACATAAGATGGATACTGTTGTCATTTTCCCAGTTCTGCCTCCCTGAACATTCTTCTCTTTATGCGTGTACTGTATGGGGCCATACATCTGTGGTGCAGTTGCCTGAAACTGCATCATCATAACTGGGCATATTGTGGTTTTGGGGTAACACTTAGTTGGTAACGTTATCGTGAAGACCATCACAACCTGATCTTGCCTGCTCATTGGCATGGTTGAGAAGGGACGAGAGAATCTTTCCAGCCCTTTAAGAAATTATATAAAAAAGCATTTTGTCGATTGGCTCTTAGTGTGAGGAATTCCAGGGTTTCATAGGGTCAAGGCCAAAAAGGCCTTTTGGAAAAGAGATGCTCTTGTATTGGTGATAAATCCTTCTCTTCTTCATAGCCACTGGTTTCAGAAAAAAGATTTTCCTTACAATCACAACAGGGGAGAAAAGTGACAAATTTACAACCCAGTATAATTGCTGTAATTATCAGTCCATTCACTGTCATTATTCTCTTAATACTTAAATTTAATAAATAAATAAATAAATAAATCACATATAACCTGACTTTCCTCCATGAGGAGTTTAACATGGATTGGATGATCTCTCCACTATCCTCCTGACTATCCTATGAAGTAGATTTGAGCTGAGGACTGGGGACTGGCCCAGGTTGCACTCAGTGAGCTTCAAACTGCATGAGAATTTGAACCTGGGTATTCCAAGTCATCGTCAGAAACATTTAACATTCCATCTAAACCTATATGACATAAGCAATTTCTTTGCCTGCTTTCTGCTATTATATCTTGTAACTGTTCTTTGTTTACTGAGAAGGTCACTAAAGTGCTGGTATGTATGATTAATGCTTTGTTCGTGTGTGATCTCACAAATACAAGTTGTAGAACGCTGAATTGTAAATACTTTTCATTTGAGGCTCCTGAACGCTAAATGAAACAGCTGGTTTTCCCATCGCTGGCTTTCTGACCTCCTTTCTTCCTGCACAGCTATGAGAAGTCTGACACTCATAAGTTTGAAGTGCCTCGAATGCTTTCAGAAGATTTGCAAGCCTTGGAGTCTTATGTCAACAGGATGAAAGATAAGTGAGTGTCCACATTCCCTCTCCATCACCAACAGTTTGCCAATGCAGTTTGATTAGGCGATTCTGCTCTCATTTGCCAGCACGTTGATCTAGAGCTGCTGGGTTGCTGTGCCATTTCCTTCCCAATAAAAGATTGGCTCCCACTGCCTATTAATAGCTCAACACTTTGTCAGGCTTCATCAAATTGATTGATTGAGATCCACCCCCCACCCCTTGTTTTTCCTCCTCCAGAGGTTTGTGGAAATGGTGGGCTCAGTATCTAGAAGGTCAGGCAGACTTAGAAGCGGCTTTCAAGTATTATGAGCTGGCTCAGGATTATTTTTCCATGGTCCGTATTCATTGTTTCCTGGGTAACATCCAGAAGGTAAGTTCGCTTCCTCCACCTGTTCCTGCAGAGGTGCCAATGTGTGCTTCGAGGTGGACAAAATATCAGGATTTGTCTCTCATTTTTGTTCAGGCTGCTGAAATAGCAAATGCAACAGGCAACTGGGCAGCTTCTTATCACGTTGCCCGTCAGTATGAGAGCCGCGAGGACATCAAGCAGGCCGTGCACTTCTACACCAGGGCTCAAGCATTTAATAACGCTATTCGTTTGTGCAAGGTACAGACAACTTTCCATTATTCCTGAGCTGCTGGGGTTAATATTGTAGAGTTTCTGAGTTGTGCTGGGAGAACTGACTTGCAATCTACATCAAAATGTAAGAGGTTTCCACCCACAGGATGAGGCTGAAGACCCTTCTGAGCCCATAGCCCAGTGTAGCAGATGCCCTGAGATGATGCCACAGGGACCAAGCACGATAGCTGGGGTGTCCGCAGGATCTTGTTCTTTCTATCAAAGTTACAAAAGCAGTACCACAGAGTTACACCCCAAGTTCTGCCCATTTGGGGTTTTAGCACAATGTTGGGATATATGTCAAAAAGGGACAGGACGTGGATTACAGTGCTGCAATGCTGTTTTCATCAGTCTGACTTCCAATTGCAAGTAGTTCTTATTTAGTGACTGCCTTGTTTAGCAACTGTTTGCAGTTATGATGGTGATGAAAAAGTAACTTTGTGAACAATCCTTGCATTTATGACCTTTGCAGGTCTGTAAAACAAAGAAAAGCTGAAGTAAGATCATAAGCACATTTGTGGTTTCACTTAGCGACCACTTTGCTTAATGGCTGAGTTGCCAGTCCCAATTGTCACTAAACGAGGACTACCTGTATCCACTCATCCCCCACTGCCTCTGGGTGAAAGCTTACTCCTTTTGGAGTTTTGTTAATATTCTCTTTTTTTTTTCATTCCCCACAAATATTTTGGTATCATCAACCAATCTGACTCCTCACCCGTAATCCTAGATCATTTTACGAATGTTAAAAAGGACTGGTTCCATAAGATAATCAGAGGGCCTCTATACATCTCTCTCTTGTTTAGAGTGTTCATTTATAACAGGAAAATCTGGCCCATCAATTAAAAAAGATAAGCAGACATTTGAAAGAGCAAATGCAAATCTCTGCTAGCCTTAACCATGAAAGACCCAAAAGTGAGGTTTGATTTTTTTTAACAAAACAGGAAAACCAGCTGGATGACCAGTTAATGAATCTGGCACTTCTTAGTTCCCCAGAAGACATGATAGAAGCTGCACGCTACTATGAAGGAAAAGGAGAACAAATGGACCGAGCTGTGATGCTATACCACAAGGTATCCATTCACCCCGCTGTGAATCAGAGTTTGAAACAGGGACAAGTCACTATGAAGGAAGCCTTCCCCAGGGAGACAAGAGGCTGCATGAAAACTCCAAATCTCCTTTCTTCCTTTACAGGCTGGACACTTGTCCAAGGCTCTGGAGCTTGCTTTTGCCACCCAGCAGTTTGCAGCCTTGCAGCTCATTGCTGAAGATCTGGATGAGAAATCTGACCCAGCCCTCCTGGCTCGGTGCTCTGACTTCTTCATTGAGCACACCCAGTACGAGAAGGCAGTTGAGCTCTTGCTAGCTGCCAAAAAGGTAACGTTGCATTTCAGGAAATGAATGCATGAATGTCCTGTGGATTAAAAACCTGTTTTGTGGTTTAGCTTTCTAAATGGTTCAAGTATGATAAGGATGGCGTGGCATTCTTTCTGCACATGAGAATATAAATGTCTTCACATCATAGATGGCGAAAAAAAAATTTTCCAAATAAATTAGCAAAGAATTTTGTCATGATCAGTAACAAGAGCAGAACTATTATTCCACCGGTTGAAATCTGTCTGGAACTGGAAGAGATAAGGTGGAAGAGTCTTTCGCTCAGGTTCTTATAGACCCAAAGGATGCACAAAATGTGATAAGGGACATTACCTATGGTTCAAAGATTTGATCAATGCTCCAGATGTTGCTAGAAATCACCACTTTTCAGACACTCCATTTGGCATACACCAAGCTCACCCATGGAGTTGGTGAGCATACTCTTAATAAGGTGTCCTCCTGTCAGAACTATGTCTTCCCAGGCTGTGTTACTTGATTTCTTCCTCCTACCAGGAGATGTTTAGCTGAATTTAATCTAGTCTCTGTTCTATCTGTGCCATAGTACCAGGATGCCCTGCAGCTTTGCCTGATACAGAACTTGACCATCACTGAAGAGATGGCTGAGAAGATGACCATTTCAAAGGACTCCAAGGAACTTTCAGAGGATTCCCGGCGGGAGCTCCTGGAGCAGATTGCTGACTGCTGTATGCGGCAGGGCAATTATCACATGGCCACCAAGAAGTATACCCAAGCAGGAAACAAGCTGAAGGT